GAAGACGTAACATCAAAATGTTCATTAAATGTTTTATCAGTGAAATTATTTATTCATATTCATACCTTTTTTTTTACTTTGTCAAAATTCACTCGTATACTTATAATATACTGCATGTAATTACACTATAATTATACTACAACTATGCTTACTCTATACAAAACTTACAATTAAATCATACTATATATAGTCATACTTATACTACGCTACACTTATACTATACCACATTCTTTTTTTTTATGAATACGTTACCGCTCCTGTTCATCTTCTGTTCATTTCGCTACTTCTGTAATCTCAAAATCGAAATTTCTCTCCCCGAGATTCTTTCAACCACCGAATGAGACCTTATTACGACTAGATATTCATTCCGTCTTTGAAAACTTGTGAGCAAACTTACGAGAAAAATTGCAGAGAATGAAAAGAGAGAGTGAGAAAATGAGAGAGAGAGAGAGAGAGAGAGAGAAAGAAAGAGAGAGGGGGGGGGGGGGGGGAGAGAAAGAGAGACAGGCAGACAGACAGACAGACAGACAGACAGACAGACAGACAGACAGACGGAGAATAAGAAAGAGAGAGAGAAAACGAGAGAGAGAGAGAGAGAGAGAGAGAGAGAGAGAGAAAACGAGAGAGCTAAAGACCAAACAGAGCAAACTTCCAAATTAAATCTAATCCATTCCGAAGATATCATCGCGAAAAACTATTTCTGCTCTTACGTCACCGCCCTTGCACAACGTTGCACAGCCTTGCAATAGGCTTTATAAGGCTTTCTTGCCGAAGATCTGTAACAAAGAAGAAGTCAGCCTAGCTCATGCATCCGAGGAAGTGAAGAGAAAGAGGAGAAGGAGATGAATATGATGATGATTCTGGAGATGCGAGAAGATGGCGATAACGGAGGGAAGAGGAGGAGGATGGGGAGGAGAAGAGAGCAAGAAGGGGGGGGGGAGGAAGACGATGCAGAGAAGGAGGAGGAGGAAATATGAAAGAGAATGGGGTAGTATGTGTACACGGGCGTTCATTCATTTATGTGAGCGTTTGTGTATGTGTGTGTGTGTTTGTGTGTGTATGTGCTTGTATGTGTT